GTCATGTTTTGATGGTGTCCCGATCATGTGATGGTGGCGCGGTCATGTTGTGATGGTGTCCCGATCATGTTTTGATTGTGTCCCAGTCATGTTGTGATGGTGTCCCGGTCCTGTTTTGATGGTGTCCCGGTCATGTTGTGATGGTGTCCCGGTCATGTTTTGATGGTGTCCTGGTCGTGTTGTGACGGTGTCCCGGTCATGTTTTGATGGTGTCCCGGTCCTGTTGCGATGGTGTCCTGGTCATGTTTTGGCGGTGTGCCGGTTATGTTTTGATGGTGTCCGGGTCATGTGACGGTGTCTCGGTCATGTTGTGATGGTGTCCTGGTCATCTTGTGATGGTTTTCCCGTCATGTCATGTTGGTGTCTTTGTGATGGTGTCCCGGTCATGTTGTGATTGTGTCCCAGTCATGTGACGGTGTCCCAGTCATGTTGCGATGGTGTCTCGCTTATGTTGTGACGGTGTCCCGGTCATGTTGTGATGGTGTCCTGGTCATGTTTTGGCGGTGTGCCGGTTATATTTTGATGGTGTCCGGGTCATGTGACGGTGTCCCGGTCATGTTGTGATAGTGTCCCGGTCATGTTGTGATGGTGTCCCCGTCATGTCATGCTGGTGTCCCGGTCACCTTGTGATGGTGTCCCGGTTATGTTGTGATGGTGTCCCAATCATGTTGTGACGGTGTCTCGGTCATGTTTTGATGGTGCCCTGGTCATTTTGTGATGGTGTCCCGGTTATGTGATGATGGTGTCCAAGGAAGAGATGGTCGATGTGTTGAAAACAGCAGCTGTTTCCAGATTGTTCTTTTTGTCCCAGTTTGTATCTTGCTATTGGGGTCTCCAGCTGGGCTAATTTTCGTTGCGCAGAATGACCAACATTAAGGCAGGTCTAAACTTTGGAGCTTTGAGGGACACGTGAAAGACCATGGAAGCTCACAAACATGACAGAACAAGGACATTGAATCTGACATTTCGAAAGAGCAGTTTGCTTCTGTCGGTGGTTTGATATGGTTTGGATGTTAGAACAAGGTTATCAGGGAGGCTCACAGGGGCCCCATTCTTTTCATCCCACTTCTGTGGCGGAGGTGCAACCACCCCAGCAGCCGGCAGCGCAGGTGGGGAGAAGGTCTCTTTGAATGTAGATGCAAGCACAGACTTCGTAAGTGGGGAATATCAGGGGGGGCGAAAGGAAACCATGCCATCACAATTACGGGTGATATCCCAGTAGCTGACCATAGCACAGATGTGCTTGTCTTTTAAGTACATCTCCACTTGTGATGTGAGATGGCATGAGATGGTGCCTGGAACATCCTCTAGGGAGGAATTTCCCCTGCAGATACACTGTGTACACATGTGACAGTGACAGAGTTATATGTATATATATATATATAGTATCTTTCGATGAGACACATGGCAGTGGCACCACACGTGGTTGGCGAGTACTGCACGACATAATTTCATGATCCACCTACAACAACAATCATTGCAGCATGCGATGACATGGGATCTGCCCAAATATGTGGGCACCCGGAACCAGCGACGTTGTGACGGATCGTCATCATGCCCCACAGCAAACCACGTGCGTCACGTATGCCCGAGCGGACGGTGAGGCCGGCACCCAATGGGTGGACAATCCAACACCGCCGCCGGTTCAAGACATGGTGGCTTGAGGGTGAGTTTCGATCGGTTGAGGGTTGAAGAACAAACAATCAAGGCCAAGGCTTTTTGCTTGTCATGGGCCGCAAGCGCTCTTAATAGAACCTGAGTGTGCTAAGAGTTCATTGAGAAGCTTAGCTGTGGGGAAAAAAAGACTGCAATTTGCGCCTTTGTGGGAGCGGTCACCCCAAGATCCGTGGCTGTGGCCCACCTCCCTCTGGCCTTGATCTATACATACCATGATACATGCTGCAATCTGTCTATAAAGTCTGTGGGATCTATTTTTAGTGATTTCTATACATGGTGTGCATGCCGATAGTCAGAATTTAGTCGGTAATTTCAAAAGAACACACCTTTCACATTCCATTCAGCGATCCTTGGACTGATGGTTTGGGATGACATGGCTAGTCAAGTGGTTGCCAAGGTGTTCCGTTCGGGGTGTTGTGAGTTTTGGGATCATGTTATCCCCTGCAACCCTTCACACCAAAATAATTTCTACTGTATCTATATTATCAGCAATCTTCCTCGGCTGTAGATTATTTGTAGTATATATTTATTTTTGCCAGTGAGCCACCGCGCCGACTTCATGATTGGAACCAATTGCTTAGCCAGGTTTACCAGTGGGTGGACAATCCATCCTTTGGACGTTCTGCTGCCACGCCACATCAGCCGCCTTATGTGCAGGCAGGGGTGTGGATCGGGAGGACGGATTGAAAGGCAGTTATTGCAGTGCTGGTAGTTTAGGAGCAAATGCAACATGCTGCATTATGTGTTTTTTTTGCGGTTCTTGAGCATAATAGTTCACAGGCAAAACGCAATGCATTTAGTTGAAAGTCAGAATTATACAGAGGGACCAATTGGGACCACGATGGACCACGTATCCTTTCATCCTTTCTGAAAGCCTTGCTTTCTCCAATCCATTCCTAAGAAAACATGGTTCGATTAACCACATGCCTCCAGCCAGACATTCTTGCCATCCGGAATCGTAGTTCTTCAGCGGTAGATATTCCTCCCTTTGATGGAGTGGACAACACATCCAGAGATTGGACCATGGATGGCCGTCGTGCGCAACCTTGTGGTCTTGCTTTGGAGATAGTAGGTTTGTGGTTTGCTTTTCGCTCGCAAGAACCAGCTGATTCTAACATCAACAGCTGTTTGGCTGTTTGTTTTGCGGCGGCTATTTTTGCTCCATTGGAGTATGGGCCTGGGTAAGGCTTTTGATATCTTGTTATTTTTACATCGCCACTGGTGGGCCGATCATCCCTTGCATGAATCGACAGGCAGCACCCGCCAATCCCTACTACCCAGGCCGCTTTGGCCGTTCCGGATGTGGGGCAAAAGGGGAAGAGGATTGGCTCCAGAATGGTGGGGAAACAGCATGGCAGCAGGTTACAAGCTGGTCACATTTGAGTTCTGGTTGTACTACACAGTTAGAAATGAATCGGGACCTCCCGGTCCATTCTTTGGAAGGAATCATGGCACATGAGTGGGAACAGAAAGAGGTCGAAGAAGTGTGAAGAATACGAACGCATCCAACAAGGCCAAGCATCGACCTGAGAGTCTGAAGGTCTCCACTAGTCCTTCCCATGAACTCATGGAGTGTCTACCTTCTTTTCTTTTTGGAGGGGGATGGTACCCTCCCACACGACGTGGGGTCACTAAAATGTATCACTGAATTGCTCCAAACACTGCGATGGACTAACCTGCCCTGACGGATGCTCCTGCGCTGTGAGGTGCAGACCCTTATGGGGCCCTGCCACGTCCAGCGGACCCTGGGAGATGTCGTGCGTAGTTGTGTGGTGCTTGGGGACAGGTGAGAGATGTCTTTCAAGCAGGTGATGCAGCATCAAACAATGAGGGGTCGTTCAAACCAAGCATCACCAAGAAGGAGATCACCTGAAGGCAATGAGGTCCTCATGCACATCACAGCAAGGTCAGTCTCCAAAGGCAACGCATCTTTGTGCTGCGCGTTGTTCCGGCGATTCCAGGATCACATGGGACTTCCTTCAATCGACCCACTGAGACCTCCAGTGCAGGCGGCAGAGGGTGCTCAAACCAGTGCGGATTCATAAGTTCTTTTGATTAGGAGACGTATTTTTGCTTCAAAGATTTTTGGCAAGGCCGGCCGGATACATTCTTTTTTTCCCCAAACAGTTTACTGTTAGGGGTTCTCAATTCTTTCTTAAGAT